ATAATAATGCATATTTTTTAAAGATAATATAATCAATTAATTTTTTTTTTATAAAACTAATTAAATAATTAAAAGCATAGTTTTAAAACCCGACNTTTGAATTTTTATTGAAAATATAATAATGCATATTTTTTAAAGATAATATAATCAAATAATATTTTTTTTATAAAAACTAATTAAATAATTAAAAGCATAGTTTTTAAACCCGGCCCGGACACCAACTCGGAGAAGGGACCGGGTCAATGGATTTCTGGTTCAACCACTGGGTCACTGGTCGAACCGGTGATATAATAAAAAAAATAAAAAATAATTATTAATGATGATAAATAGACTAAAAAATTAAAATAGTTATAAAAATAACATGTTTAATATATATTAAATCAAACAAAGTTATCAAGCCTGAATCACTTAATTGCATTCAATTAACAAACCAATGTATTCAATTAACAATCCAGCCTCCACCCTCAAAGTTGAATCACTTAATTGCATTCACTTAATTTTGAGTTAACAAACACTGAACGAATGATTTAGGATTTAGGGCAAAACAGAAGGGGAAAAGAAAAAGACACAAAAATGTAAAAAAAAAACATATTTATACTAAAGGAACAAAACCGGCCGGTTTTGTAAACTCGGTCCGGTTTTCACAGGTTATCGATTTTTTGACCGGTTCACCGGTTTTATTCCGCGTGCTTTGCTCAAACGGTCCAATTACAAAACCGGTTTATCGGGTCACCGGATCAACCCGTCGGGCCGGGCCGGGTTTTAAAACACTGATTAAAAGAGATGTTATAGATAATTTATAGATTTAAAAATATAAGGATATAATAGTAATTTAGATATTTAATTGTGAAATAATAGAATGATCTTTACAATCCTTTATAAGGGTAAAATAGAGATTCAAAAATTTTTCATCTTAAGGCATTTTTATCAGTGGTATAAATAGATAAAGACTACTGTAAATAAAGGCATCAGATACCAAGTAATTCATTCGATCCTACTCTATTGACTTCGTNCATGTCTCCTTAATTTTGGATCAAAATAAAACAAAATCGCATAGTTTGAGGGAAAGTGAAATAACTTTTCATTTAATTTGTAAAGGATATTTGAATAAAATTAGGGAAAATCATACTTTCCACCCTGAAAGATTTAAAAATTTTTAGTTTGTACTCTCAAAGATTAAATTTTTCACATTACTATTAAAATTTTAATTTTTAAGGGTACAATATAAGAATTTTAAATTTTTTGGTGTGCAAAAGGTTAAGTATTAAATATATCTTAGAGGATGCAAGTATATTTATTCTACGCGATATCTATTATTCTCATATCTTCATTTAGAGCAATGCTATTAGGACCTACTTTATTAATATAATTTATTATATATGGCCTGCGGATTGACTATGGATCCCATGAAATATTGGAATTTAATATTAATCCAATAATTCTAATGACATCACATTACTAGATCAACAAATTAACTCAGATTTGATGCACCACATACTAAGTATTTAATGCAGTAATTAAGANGTGGACCAAATAGACACAAAGGACATAATTTTTGAAATAAAAATATATGGGAAACGTTCATGTCTCCTTAATTTTGGATCAAAATAAAACAAAATCGCATAGTTTGAGGGAAAGTGAAATAACTTTTCATTTAATTTGTAAAGGATGTTTGAATAAAATTAGGGAAAATCATACTTTCCACCCTGAAAGATTTAAAAATTTTTAGTTTGTACTCTCAAAGATTAAATTTTTCACATTACTATTAAAATTTTAATTTTTAAGGGTACAATATAAGAATTTTAAATTTTTTGGTGTGCAAAAGGTTAAGTATTAAATATATCTTAGAGGATGCAAGTATATTTAATCTACGCGATATCTATCATTCTCATATCGTNGTGCAAAAGGTTAAGTATTAAATATATCTTAGAGGATGCAAGTATATTTATTCTACGCGATATCTATTATTCTCATATCGTCATTTAGAGCAATGCTATTAGGACCTACTTTATTAATATAATTTATTATATATGGCCTGCGGATTGACTATGGATCCCATGAAATATTGGAACTTAATATTAATCCAATAATTCTAATGACATCACATTACTAGATCAACAAATTAACTCAGATTTGATGCACCACATATTAAGTATTTAATTCAGTAATTAAGAAGGAAACTCAACACAAACAAACACAAATTAAACGGTTCAGTTATGATGACCTACTCCACTATGAAGGGCTACAGTCGTCTGAGTATTTTATTGCTTTAGCAGTGTAAAGTATTTAGATGTGAGTAATGCTCTTCTGGGTAGATGGAGTTTACAATTTATAGACGTCTCTTAATAAATGGAGGAGTTATTCTCATAACAGGTGAGACATTACAATTTATAGGCGCCTCCACCACACGAAAATGCTATGCAATCTCCTCATCATTGTCCAGAGACATACAAAACTGGTAGCATCCAGCTTTATTTGGTTTGCACACGAAAATGCATTGCAAATGCCTGGACCCTTACACCACTTAAAAGGAAAAGGTTTTCAAAGAAGGAATGGTCTCCACTTGTTTTTTTGTCACTATTTGAAAGTTGAAACTTTCATAGGAGAGGGAGCGGTGAGATTTGAATTTATGACGTAACAGTTTACCGGCGGACTACGGAATTATTGGACCATCATTGATTCTCGTCCCTATTTCTCTTCTACTTTACTCTTTTGACAAATATTTTGAAAAAAATAAAGACTTGATGAAATATGATTGCAATTCCATGATGTTAAGTTACAACTCAATAAAATCTAAAAATTTGCCCAAGTTTTTTTTATCAATCTTAAATTGACGCATTGAGTCGTTAATAAACTTATTTGAAATATAATTTGATTTGATTAAGTCGTAACTAGAGTCGTGGAAAACCCATTCCCTTTTTTTCCCGATACATTGCATTATCCCTTCTTTCCCCTGTCACGTAATAATAGTCCATTGCTTACCTTTGAAATTTCTCATTTTGATGGTAGGACTGACTTATTTTTAAATTCAATCATAGTTGATCATTTGTTGTATACTCGATCATGAAGTTTTTGGGGAGCTTCCGCTTTACATTTTTGGTTACAAACTGAAATAACAGTATGACATTGTTCTATATTAAAATATATAGTGCTTTAGGGTGGTTAGCTACCTCTCACTCTCTTAACCAAAAAAGTCACGGATCAATCCGTTCAAAATACAAGATTTGGTTTCTTTTGCCCTCTCACTAGCAAATGCAAAGCAGTTTCCTTATTTTTTTTATCTTTTTGAAAAAAAATAATAATGATCATTATACGAGGCTCCTTGCAGGTGTTAGAAGAGTCATATGTACAAAATTTTATCCTGGTAAAACCTATATCCGCATTGCAAACACTGATTTTTTGAATGAATTTACTGTAGCGATCTAAATGTTATGCACGTATAAATCTCAAAAGGTATATGTATAATATTTTAAAAGTCAAGAGGTTTAACTGATTAAGTAAAAATCTCAGGAAGTTTGAATATAATTCTTCCAATATTTCAATTGACGCAGAAAACTGCGTTTTCTTGTCCAGACCCAAAGAAATATCTAATGGAACAGAGCAATCCCACCCACCCCTGGGGTTCCGGGAAATACAAGAATAGATATCGAGCATCATCAGTGATTTTCCCCAACCTCTATATGCTAGAGAAATTGGCAGAACCAACATACTAATGAGTGGCTTTTGCAATTTTTTTTTTGAAAGGTAAATTAGACTTTGATCCCCTTAACTATGGCCTTTTTCTTGCATTTTCCTCCCAACTATTATGTTTATTACATTGTACCTTCAACTACATTGTTATCTTGATATTGTCCCAAAATTTTATTTTATTTTTTCTTCAATAAAAAATATATTTAACTAAAATAATAGGTAAAAAAATGAAAAAAGAAAAAATGCCCATTTTCTTCCAGAAACAACGACTAAATGGGTTATTTGTAGATAACATTAAAACATCCCCTTTTTATTATTCATGTTAATGGATCACATTGTCTAGGTTAGTAAATTATGTCAATTTTTTTTTTGTATCAATAGTGTTACTCATTACACTTTAGAATAGAAAATAAGTTGAATTCTTTCATGGATTAAATCTATATTACTTTAAAAAGTGAGCATATTTGAAAAATATTTGTTTCCACTTTTATCCTCTAAAATCACAACTATTTCATTCTTATCTCTCAACATTAAAGCCAAAATAAACCAAAACGTCCTCATGTTCCAAAAAAAAACCTACTCTTCCCAATCTTCTCTCTCTTGCCAGTCATTTCATCTCCATCTTCTCCCACTCCAAATAAACTTTTTTTCTCTATCTTCTTTACCTTTTTCAGAAATCGATGTTCCCTTCTTTCTCCTAGTCTTTCTCTCATGCTCTTAGCATGCGTTACTTTACGCATTCAATTATCTCTGCGTTTCAACGTTTGGTGCATCTCTACTTTTTGTGGTATTGTTCTTCCATTGATATCTATTTTTTTTTTTTTGCGAATTTATTCTAAATTTTATGATACCAACAAAATTGAATTTTCACAGAGAAATCAGACACAAACACGCTATGTGTATTAGCATTCAGAAGAATAATTAAAATTTGGATACTGTTAAAAAGTCTAATAAATTGCTTCTTTAGACTAATAACAATAAAAAAAAAGAATGTTATAATTATCACGAATATAAATTATAACCGAACATTTTAGTAGAGAAGCTCGTTGGACATTGTAATTAACTTTGGTTAACTTTCATCGGTATGTTTGTAGTATATAATTTGAAGAATGAGACTTAAATAGTTTCCTAAAAGTTACGTACGTATGCTGCTTTTTAATTTGAAGAAGGGGATTTCACTCTTCATCAACCAATTTGCAGGTTGAACTATTGGTCTGGGCTCATCCAAAATTTCCAAAAATTTTAGATCTATGCATCATTATTTATTTGTTTGGGATTTACCCGAGGATCAGAGCAGCATTCTTCCAGCTATGAGATTAAGCTATCATCACCTTCCTTCTCAATTGAAGCCAATGTTTGGATACTGCGCCATATTTCCAAAGGACTACGAGTTTGACAAGGACGAGTTAGTCTTGTTATGGATGGCAGAAGGTTTTCTGCAACAATCACAAAGAATGAGGAAATGCATGAAAGAGTTAGGTGATGATTGCTTCAATGAGTTGTTATCAAGGTCATTCTTCCAACCTTCAAGTGGCATGAAATCAAAATTCACGATGCATGACCTTTTGAATGATTTAGCTCAACATGTTACGGGAGAAATATGCTTTAGGATGGAAGATAATATGGACAACAATGAACGGTGTAACATTTCTCCGAAGGCTTGCCACTCGGCATTCATGCGCCATTACTGTGAAGTGTACAAAAGATTCAAGGCATTTGATCATGAACTTCATCGCTTGCGAACATTCTTAGCACTACCAATTTCTAAGTCAGATACAAGGCAAACCTTCTGTTTAAGTAATGGTGTTTTAGTTAACATACCGCCAAAATTACTGTACTTAAGAGTCTTATTATTGACCGAGTATGATATAAGCGAGTTACCCAACTCGATTGGCGATTTGAAACATCTTCGGTTGTTGAATTTATCAGGGACATCAATTAAATGGTTGCCAAAATCAGTGACTGATCTCTATAATTTGCAGACATTATCGTTGCATCGTTGTTCTGAGCTTTGTAAGTTGCCCACAAACATTGGCAATTTAGTTAACCTTCGTCATCTTGGCATAAAATTACAAGAAATGCCCAGAGGGATAAGTAAATTGATAAGTTTGCAGACACTGCCAAAGTTTGTTTTGTGTAAAAGTGGCGGATTGGACACAACCATTTGAACAACCTAGAGCTTCTACAGCAGATGCTTTCTATTGTAGGGTTGCAAAATGTTAAGAATGTGCGGGATGCAGAGGAGGCCAACTTAAATAATAAGCGAGAGCTTGATGAGTTAGAATTGCTATGGAGTAGTGAGGTTCAAGATTCTCAAATTTGTTGTGATCGTGCAGCAATTATGGTGAATAGTAAGGAATCAAACAATTAAGAAAGCAGGAGAAAATAACACACAGAGATTTACGTGGTTCGGCAATGTGCCTACATCCACGAGAGCGAGCGGTCGTTCTATTCCATTATTGAAGTAGAGTTACATCTTAAGTATTTATATAACCCTAATATGGACGTATTTACAAAAATACCCTTGTACCGTACCGCGGGGGCGTTGCCCCCGCACCCCCAAGTAATCAACGTCCCCTTTATATAAATCCCGCAAGGCAGATGTCGTCGCGGGCTCCGCTCCGATATCTGCCTCCTTGCCATTATGCACATAGTAATATATGAGCTACACATATTCTAACAAAATGAAGAGCTTCAAGCGAACGTACTCAACATGCTACGGCCGCNCTGTCATTAGCGCCTTTGGCAGTGAAGACACTAGGTGGCGTCCTGCGCAATAGACGTAGCCCAAGAGAGTGGAAAGACGTACTCGATAGTGAAATCTGGGATTTACCGGAGGATAAGAGCAGCATTCTTCCAACTCTGAGATTAAGTTATCATCACTTACCTTCTCAATTAAAGCAAATGTTTGCATACTGCGCCATATTTCCAAAGGACTACGAGTTTGACAAGGAGGAATTAGTATTGTTATGGATGGCTGAAGGATTTCTGCAACAATCACAAGGAGTGAGGAAACTCATTCAAGAGTTAGGCGACGACTGTTTCAATGAGTTGTTATCAAGGTCATTCTTCCAACCTTCAAGTAGCACGAAATCAAAATTCACGATGCATGACCTTTTGAATGATCTAGCTCAACATGTTGCTGGAGAAATATGCTTTAGGATGGAAGATAATACGGAGTGCATTGAACGGTGTAGGATTTCTCCGAAGGCTCGCCACTCGGCATTCATGCGCCATGAGTGTGAAATGTATAAAAGATTCAAGGCATTTGATCATGAACTTCTGTCCCTGCGGACATTCTTAGCACTGCCAGTTTACAGGTTACGCTGGTGCTGCTTTTTAAGTGATAGCATTTTAGTCAACATCCTGCCAAAACTGTTGTGCTTAAGAGTCTTATCTATGAGTGGGTATAATATAAGAGAGTTACCCAACTCGATTGGAGATTTGAAACATCTTCGGTACTTGAATTTATCAGGGACATCAATTAAATGGTTGCCTGAATCAGTGAATGGTCTCTACAATTTGCAGACATTGTTGTTGCGTGGTTGTCGGGAGCTTTGTAAGCTGCCCGCAGACATTGGAAATTTAGTTAACCTCTGTCATCTTGACAATGCTAATACTCAAAAATTACAAGAGATGCCCCCCGAGATTAGTAAGCTGAAAAGTTTGCAAACTTTGCCAAAGTTTGTTGTGTGTAAAAGTGGTGGATTGGGACTTAACCATTTGAACAACCTAGCACTTTTACGGGGGATGCTTTCCATTGTAGGATTGCAAAACGTTAAGGATGTGCGGGATGCAGAGGATGCCAATATAAATCGTAAGCGGGATCTTGATGAGTTAGAATTGCTATGGAGTAGTGAGGATGAAGATTCTCAAAATGAAGAGCTCCAAGCCAACGTACTCAACATGCTACGGCCGCATAAAGGATTGAAACGTCTCAAAATTGAGTTTTACAGGGGCTTAACATTCCCCAGTTGGATTGGGGATCTGTCGTTCTCAAAAACAACGCAGATTAGTCTAAAAGGATGTACAAAATGTGCGTCTTTGCCACCACTGGGTCAGCTACCTCTGTTGAAAGAACTACACATTCAAGGCATGCATGCAGTAAAGAACGTGGGAGCCGAGTTCTACGGGGATGGTGGCTCATTAGAGACTCGATTCCCGTCACTCGAGACTCTAAGCTTTGAGGATATGCCGGAATGGGAAGGATGGTGTAGTTGTATTGGTGTTGAATTTGTAGGACATTTCCCTTGCCTTCGTCAGCTTACCATGTCCAAGTGTCCTAAACTGGTAAGTGTCTCAGTCCTAAGGCTTCCTTCTCTTTGCAAATTAAAGATAGAACGTTGTAGAGAGGTGGTTCTAAAAAGTCTCATTGAATTAACCTCTCTAAGACAACTGTTTATTAAGGATATTTCGGGACTGACCCATTTGCAAGAAGAATTCACTCATTTCTTGGTGTCACTTGAAAATTTTGAAGTGTGTGACTGTGCTGCACTAGTGACTCTGTGGCAGAAGGGGAATACACCAAAACACCTTTCCCATTTGCAACACTTAAGTGTTGTGGGATGTTCCAAACTTGTGTGCTTGACTGAAGAAGACCAAATGCTACCTCGTAATCTTGAATCTTTGCGAGTATCTGGATGTGATTGTCTGGGGAGGTTGCCAAATGGCCTGGAAAGCCATACTTCTCTCAAAGTATTGGAATTGGAAAAGTGCCCAAAGCTCGTGTCCTTTCAAGAGGCCAATCTCCCGCCCATGCTTAGAAGTCTTAGGTTAACAGACTGCAGTTCACTAGAATCCCTGCCTAATTGCAACTCTTGTCTTGAGGAGTTGTGCCTCAACGAGTGCTCGTCTCTGAGATGCTTGCCAATGGATACATTTTCCTCCACCCTGAAGTCACTTGAGATTCGTAATTGCGAGGAATTAGGGTCAATTTTAGAGCCGATTAGACTGAACATAATCATGGAGGAGCCAGGATGTTTTAGGATCAGTGATTGGCCAAATTTGGAGAAGTTATCTGTATCTATGCCGCCTTTTTATTGTGATTTGTCTTATAAGAAGGGACAACCGTTCCCAACAGGAAGTAGTTTGATTACTCCCAACCTCAGAAGGCTTCGTATCAGTGGTATTGCGAATGACATTTATTTTGCAAGCAAGTTTCAAAGCCTCACATCCCTTACAGTCTTGTTCATGTCTTATTGTGATAATCTTGAGTCCTTTCCTCAAGAGAATTTGCCCCCCAACCTTAAAGATATTTTTATCTTAAATTGCAATAATTTGAAGCCTCTATCAGAGTGGGGCCTCCACAGTCTCTTCTCTTCAAACTTTCACATGAATGGTGTATGTATACCCAGAGCTACATTCCTTGCCGGATGACTGTTGGCTTCCTTCTACTCTAACACGGCTTACGATCGTAGACATGCCTAACCTCAGTTCTTTCTCTAAGGGTATCCACAACCTCACCTCTCTTAATGCCCTGCATATCGACAAGTGCCCTAATCTTCGTTCCTTGCCTGACGAAAGAACACTCGCCACACTCTCAAGCCTAATCATCTCAAACTGCCCACTTCTTGAACAACGATGTTTGAAGGATAAAGGAGTAGATTGGCAAAAGATCGCCGACATCCCCTATATTCGTATATATCAATAGAGTTGAAATTAAGTTGGACTACTTCTGAGGGAGGATAAGGATGAGTTCAGAGTCCATCCCCACTTGCTTATCTCAGGTTCAGGTGCCTTCCATTTATGACACTCATAAACAAAGTATAGAATATGTATTTTTATGGTTAGATGGTGTTGCTCTTCCACATGTTTATTCTAGTTTAAGAGTCCCTCCTTGAGGTTATTATCGTAACAAGTCTTGGTATGTTTACAAGGATTCAACACCTATTGTCAAATTAATTAAAAATCTTTCTATATTTTTTGGTACTCCAGATCCCAATCAATTCTTGAATTGGTTAGTTAATTTAGAAGAATATTTTGACTGAAATGACATGACATTTCAGATTCCCATTCTGTCCATTTTACTTAATTGATGTTAGAGTGTTTCGTCAAGCGGTATTGGCAAGCAATCCAAAGAAGCCTAGTAGTTTAGGAGAATCATTTATCACTTGAATTGAAATGAGATATAAATTGAAAAAGAAGTATTTGCTACTTCCTACAATAATCAATTTTATGACCAATGACTCAATCTTAGACAACATTCTTCTAGTGTCTCTGATTGCTTTTCCCAATTCGATTATTTTATGTACTTGTGTGATATTGTTGAAGAACCTTGGACAATTGATCAATTTGTTCTTAGATTGAGACAAAAAATTAGTAGGTAAGTTAAGCTATACACTTTTAATACGTTAGTTGCAGCCTATCAATATGCCCTAAAGGTTGAGAGATTTCATAAGAAATCCAAATAGAGCTTGATAGGTTCTCAATCACAGTCTGCTAAACAACATGACAGGACACCTCCCAATTTTAATTCCACCACATATGAATATCATGATTACTTGAATGATGTCCATGTTGTTTCGGCAGACTTTCCTAATCCGAATGTGACAAAGGCTTTAGATATGCTAGTATCGGATAAAGAGAAAAATGTTACTCATATTAACTTCCAACTCCCTCATTCAGTTTCATCAGATCAAAGTCCTCCTCCTTTGTCCCCACAAGAGTTCATATCAAAAGAAAGTGTGTGTGCGTCTTTGCTTGCGTCAATTCTTGAACCATCATTGATCTTGAAAATTGTGAAAAAATCGGTTGAGTCTACACCTATGCAAGATATTAAGCTAATCGAATCATTTATTGCAGAATCTACTAGTGACTATTCTGTGTCTACTTGTCCAAGTCATTATGACTTTGTTACAGATTCTTCTTAATCTGAGATTGTTGGCATTATTCGAGATTCTGCTCCACTCGAGAGTGTTAACATTGTTTCTTTGCCTATTGTCAAGTGTTCAATTGAGTTTGTACTTTCTTATTTTTAGCACCAGGGTGTTATAATTACTCATTTGTCATTGATGTCTTGTTCCACTAAATGCATGCTGTTCAAATTTAATGGGAATTGTTTTCCTATTCTTGAGTTTGGATCTAAATTTGCTTAATTTTTCATTAAATGATAGTATTAATCCAGATTTTTATTTGGAGGACATGCTACTTAATCGAGGTACTCCAGTGCGTCATATTTTATTAGCAAATGTTCATACAGATGAAGATTTTTGCATTTATTCTGATCGATGGAAAAAAGTTGATAGTTCTTTCATTCTAGATGAGACATTATGTCATCTTCAATCGGTGCTCTTATGGTACTTCTGCTTTGAAGACTCTTGGAGGAGAGTTTTTCTCAATTGGGAGAGAATGATGAGAATCGTGTAAGAATTGGATATATATTTTATATTAATCATGAGAGTAATTTAGATACTTTTAATATTTATTTTTTAAGTAATTTCTTTTAATTTTTAAGAGTTTATTTGTCATTACTTATTGGTTTTAGGGTTTTAGTTTTCATATATAAAGAGATGCATGTAAGAGTTTTATGGAGATAAGATTTTGATTATTATTGATTACTGATATTGAATCCTAATACTACTTCTTCCTCAAATTCGCTTTCTTTCTTCATTCCCTTCTCATCCCTAATTCTTCCATATTATGATCTACATCAATTTGGTATCAGAACTAATATGATCTACATCACTATCTCAACTTTATGATCTGTTCTTAACTTCTTTTCTGTCCAGTGTTTTGATTATTGATCAGTGACAATGCAGGCCGATTTCATGAAAATGCCATTTCCTAACAATAGCTTAGACGCAGTATATGCAATCGAGGCAATCTGCCATGCTTTAGACGCGGGTGTTTTCATTTTAGATGCTCAATCTTAACTTGAATTTTTCCCAAACTCTTTTTGTTTTGTTTGGGGTGATATCGTAACTGATATTGTTTTGTTTTTCATTCCTTTAGTTGCTCAGTCTAGAGGTTTTTCTTTGGATTGGGACTAATATTATCTTACTAATTGGGTTTTGCGGGAAACAAAGCTTCCATCAATTGTATTCTTCTTGGCTCAAATGGCTCAATAATCTTCATTCTTTGCCGAACGAAAGGACACTTGCCACACACTCTCAAGTCTGACCATCTAGAGCTGTCCGCTTGTTGAACAGCAGTGTTTGAAGGATAAAGGAGCAGATTGGCCCAAGATCGCTGAAATCCCGTGTTTATAGTTATTGATGGTCCTTTGATCCACTAACAAAGTTCAAGTAAGTTGGGCTTATGCTAAGGATGATGATGAGCTCAGAGTCTATACCCAATTGCTTATCTAAGGTTCCATTCATGACACTAGTCTCTTCTTGACTCTAAATTCAGTTTTTTTATGGCCTGGATTCCAATGTACTTTCTCTCCTATCAATTTTCCCACATCATCTCCTCTGTTATATTGATTAGTTTCACATTGCCCAAAACCCATAAAACTGTTAAATTTTGGATGAACAATAACTAAAGTTATGCTAATTGTTTTCATATCATCCCAAAATCCACCGGTATAGGGACATTTTCTTTCCAAAATAAACCAACTGTTCGTATTAACACGTGTGTTCCCCTGCTGCTTATTATGTTGCTTGACTTTCTCATTTATGTTGGTGTTTGCAGATTGTCATGGAGGCGGTTTTAAAGAGCAACTTTCTTATTTGCCAACAATGGATGAGTTCAGCTGAAAACAAAAATGGCTGGAGAGGTAGACTATTGCCTATTACATGTTTACTTGTCATTGTTTTTTCTCGGTGTATGTTAATATTTATCATGTTCTTTGTAATGTTGTGAGGGCAAGGGCAAGTAACTGCCAACTTGATGTTCTACAAAATGAATAATTGCAAGTTTAGTTGATTGTCATTTTGAGAACCTATGAAGGATTTTGCCCATTTGTTGGTTCCAGGATTGTAATTTTACTGAGCATTGTGTAGCTGTTGAGTTATTTTGCAGTTTTTTTTTTTTTTGATCTTTGAAGCTGTTATTTGTTGGTTGTTATATTGAATTGGCAACTATTTTCGACTCCCCAGAAAACAAAAATTATTAAGGCAAAATGTTGGGATTCACCGCGCTTTAAACCCACAGATAAACACAAAATCGAAGAACAAATTAAGAATATAAAACAATGAGAAACAAGAAAGAACAAGACACACAGATTTTATGTAGTTCGATAATTTGTCTACGTCCATGAAAATGTAGGGATTTTATTATATCAAAAATGAGTAATACAGAGGGCGGCTATACAGTTTCTCTCAAAACTTAATCATCAAAGTAGGTTTTTATAGTTTAAGCCTCCGTTCCATGAACCAAGTCTCAGAAAATTTCTCATTAAAAATCACGCAATATTATTTCGGGTCGGGTCATTATCCGAATCGACACAAAACTAGATTCCACAAAAAAAGGAACCCAACAGAATGAGGATATGAATTTCTCTCTCCTGTTATGCCTTGCTTTTTTGAGTCGTGCTCTACAAAAGTGATTACTCTGTTTAATTCTCTACTGGCTTTCNTATGCCTTGCTTTTTTGAGTCGTGCTCTACAAAAGTGATTACTCTGTTTAATTCTCTAGTGGCTTTCACAGCCGTGCTTGAGTAGGCATTTCAACATTGTCAGGTTCGGATTGTGCAAGGGATAACTCAATCCGGTCTATTCAGATATAATCCTAATCCGACCAACCAGATAGTTTGATGGATTAGAATAGGGGGGGAAAACACTTGCAAACAATGATAAATAATGTGAAAATCAGAATATGGAAGCCTGGGGCCCAAGGCTAGCAACGCCAAGAGACTTGGAAAGGATTTGGGGGTGTTTGATTCCTTAGAAAATTCAATAATTCGGAAGAGAGAAACTTGAGTTAAGGAGAATTTTGCAGAAGCTTAATGGGAGCCTCCTCCTGGGACTTTGTTGAAGCTTAATGTAGATGATGCTTCTAAATGAAGCAGTGGTTTATCTGGAGGAAGGATGGTCTTGAGAGATTCCAAAGGGCTTGTAGTTTTGGCTGCTGCTGCTTTTTATGGAATAGGATCTAATATGGTGGCTGAATGCATGGCAATGCTTGATGGATTAAAGTTGATCAGGCAGTATGGTTTGGAGAATAATCAGTTTTTGATTGAATCTGATTCCAAAATGTTGGTTCAGATGGTATTGGGGAAAGCTGAAATCCCTTGGAAGATTAAAGGTATTTTGGATCAGATCTGGGTGATGCTTGGTGGATTACAGTATCAGTTAAGGCATGTGTACAGAGAGGCCAATGTGATAGCTGATTTTCTGGCCTCATATGCAGTCTACTATGGGAGATACACTGATTTTTCGGTCGGTGGCTTTTTGCCACTATCTGGCAGAATGCTTCTGCAATAGGATCAAATTGGACTGTGCACTGCAAGGATGAGGAAATTGGTGAGGTCTGATCACAGAGGAGCTGAGCTGTGAGGATCAGGCAATGCAGCAACTGTATAGGAGGAATTTTTAACTGTTTTGTCTGGTATTGGTAACAGAATTCTGTTTTATACGGTAACAGTTTTTTTGTTAAAAATAGTTACTGTTTTCTGTTGAAACAGTTACTGTTTTTTGATTCTTGTAATTTTTGGGGAGTTATTCAATAAAATTCTCTCTTTTCTTAAAAAAAAAAA